CTCCAGCTGCTCCATTACATCCAGTCATAAATAAAGACATTAAGAAGCATAAGCAATTAGTCTTTATGATATAAGAAAAATTTAAGAAGGAATTTTCATTTGAAAGCTCCTGAGTCTAAACATAGTGTATATGGTTTCTATTCCTAACGGAATAAGAAAGAATAAATAAAAGAAAGAAAGGATGAGATAGTGAGGCACTGAGAAAAATTACTTCCTTTCAGAGTTTGGCAGCCCTGTACTCAAACCCAGCTTTGCAACTGACCAGATTTGTGGGCAAGCACAAATTACTTAATTTCTCTGAGCCTCAGTTTCCTTATCTGTGAAAGAAGAGAATAACATCAACCCTGGAGGGATGTTGTGAATGGTCAATGAGATAATGAATGTAAAATGCAGAGAGCAGTGGCACTCAATGGGCACTCAATAAACAACCAAGATGAACACCACAAATTTGATATCATACATGGGTAATAAGATAACTGAAAGTAAGGATCCTGCAACTGAAGAATCACAATCTGTCAGAGCTGAGCACAACTCTAAGGATACATAAAGCCCATTTTAAGGCAGGGAAAGTGTCACTTTGAGAGACTATTAACTTGCACAAGGTAACAAAGTAAGTCACCCACTACATGCAAACCAGTTTCCTACTCCTACCTTTCCAAAACATTTACATAAAACTCAATTCCCAATGTAGCTATATTTACACACAAAAAGAAGAAAAGTTTCCCTCAATGACAAAAGAGTTGCAGACTCTTCTCTCAAATCACAATGAAGTTATTGTCTACATGGCCAGATAAGATTCTCACTATTTAATTGTACCCCACTTCCTCAGGGAAGCTGCAGCAGAGATGTCTAGCTGACCACCAAATGTCCACGTTCCCTGCACATAGTGCAGATCTGTGGCTGCAAAATGTGTTTCCAGACAGCAATCACCTTTCCCAGCCCCCTCTTCAATCTAGGTGGGACCACGTGACTAGTCATGGTCAAGGGAATTTGTCACTTCTGGGCCAAGGTGGTTACATATTAGGTATACCTTCCCCATGGTCTCTTTCCCATTCACCAGCTGAATGGAGTGGACTCCAATGACCTAGACAGGAGTGGAGCTGAGAACAGAGGAGCTTCCACGTGAATGACATGTGGAAGGCTGCCTAAGAACACCTTAATCGGACTACGACATGAGTGAGAAACAAATTTTTGTTGATTAAATCACCGAGAATTCGGAGTTTATGTGTTATGGTAGCTAGTGACCCTAAGCCTTGACTAGACTAGGTCCTGCTGCTGGAGGCTCTATTTAGACCCTCTATAATAATTCCTCTTCCACGGTACTTATCACAATTGTAATTAATTGTTCAAGGTCTCTCTTCCCATTAGACTATAAACTTCCTGGGGTCAGGGATTATATCTGTCTTTTTCATCACTGCCTCCCCAGGGCTCACTGCATGCTAACAACCTTATTGATCATTCTATATGAAAACTCTATGTGCATAGTAAATGACTGACTTACTCCTGCTTATTTGGTTTTCTTCTAGTGTCAAGAATTCCTTTGGGAGACCAGTTATTATTCTGTTTCCCAATATCCATACTTCCCTTTTGAATGAACTCAAAAGTTCTCTAAGAAAATGCAAGCAGCAAAGATGCTAACCTTAGCACCTCCACGATGTTCCCAGTAGCCTTTAACTCTCTGATATCATTATCTCTCACCGGAGCACACAGCTTTCCCATTGTGCTGATGACATAGTTCGCCAGGCCTTGGATGTCAACAGCACTGTGCTCAGCCTGCTGCCTGATGAGGTCTGTGTCCAAAACTTCACAGATCTGGTTGCGAAGCCGGTTGCCACAGGGAGTCAAAAAAGAGAGGAGAATCTACACACAGAAAGAAATTAAAATTAACAACATGATTACATGAATAAAAGTTGTCACTTTCCACTTCAGTGTCTAGATGACCAAACTTCTTGTCAGTATTTTAGAGCCAGAGGAGAACTCCAGTGTCTCAACCCCAGGAAGAAAGCTCTATCTTCTGAATTAAAGTCCCC